AGTAGTAGTAGTAGTAGTAGCACAAGCAAGTGCGAGTAGGAGTCGAGTGCTTCTGTTGAACCCCCTGCTACAGGCTGTTTGATAGGCTGTCGGGTCGAGGTGCTGTAGGCACCGTAGTCGTGCTGAGAAAAAGGTAAGACAGCCTGCTGCGGATTTCTTGTCGCTGCACCAGGCACATCTCGAAGCACAGCGGAAGGAGGTCGAGAGTTGTCGGCAGCGCGGCGAGGCTAGCGGCTGGCATGGCGTTGTGCATGCTGAACATTGGGGAAACGCATTGCTCGAGTCTTGGCGAGTCATGTTTGCGCAGCCAGGTCGAACGAGATGCGCAGCTTCAGGCTCTACAGCAACACGAAGCAGAGCTGAAAAAGCACCCAGGCTGCAAAGGTCCAACCGGCGCAAGAGACGAGGCTTGTTATGTTGACTCCATCACAGTTGATCTTTAATCATTCAGACTCTTGTTGGCCCTATTGGCCTCTTGAGCTCAGGCACCGCGAGGAGCTGTACTTGGGCCAGCTTTGACGTGCTCTTGGCAGATGTACTTTTCGCACGGCTACTCGTGGTTTCGATGCCGCTATTGTTAGCAGGCCGTAAGCCAACAGATGCCGTCGCTCCGTTGCTGTGAGGAGCTGGAGCACCAGCGCAGGGAGGAGGAGGCTGCATGACAAGTCAGTGGCAACAAGACATTCGCAGCTACAGCGATAGGGATAAACAGGATGGAGAACCTGCACTGGGACGTACAGCTGGTGTGCACCTGTTGAGTCACTGTTGACTTGAGCAAAGGAGCTGCGAAAGGCGCAGGCAGAGACGTGAGCCTCTGCATGTGTTGTGTGTAGCATGGCCCGCTTGCTTTGTCAAATTGTAGCCTACTACTCGCCTACTGGCTGGGTTACAGTGCCAGGTTTCAGCTCTTGGACCAGGACGCAATTAGAACAGCCTATCAAAGCTGTTAAGCCTCTGTTGTCACTGATAGTACATGCTGGGCACGATGCTGAGTCGAGTGACATCCCTGATGGTCGTACATTTGTCGAGGGATTTGGCCCAGGAGCTCCAAGACCGCGCTCTGCAAATCTCGAGTTCCGAAGAGGCGTCACTGCAGCCACAAAGAAAGCGATGCCTCGCACTCACACTGACTGCGAGCTGGTTGCGAGGCTTTGGCCTCCGAGAGGCAGCAGATCCTTCGCTCACGTGGCCAGCTGGCAATGGCCCAGCTCCTATGCTGGCCTTCATCGTCGTGTGTTTGCCAAGGTGCTTTTCAGCAAGTTGAGATCATGCAAAAGTTGCACGTGCTTGCCTTTTGGCCCTTCAGCTCTGAGCGAAGAGGGTAGGGCCGGGTAGGGCTTTCCGGCCATGTCGATGTCACGAGGGCTGCGTTTGAGACGCGGTGCCTCAGGCACAGCTGTAGCAGGCTTCGTGGCCCTGTGTGGCGTGCTCTCCCTACTTGGTCATACCCGGCCCGGCTTTGTGTCTTCCGGCCATGCGGAAGCCCCCATCACCAGAGCGTCGCTGCAGACCTCACCCAGGCCTGCACACGCCTCTGCTGGGCTGCAAGCCGTCAAGGGACCGACAGTCGCCAGCATCGCTCTGGCAATGACAGGTGTGGCCCTGACGTTTGGGGCTCCCCGGAGGTCACGGTCGTCGCAAGAGCAAAGCTCTGCCGTGATCATGCATGCTCGGTCAGCAAAGCCGACAACCCCAGCAGGTTCACCGAAGAACAAGCGAAGGATCCGAGCGGGGCGGATGCGACCGATTTACAGAGGGCGCCAACTTGCGGTACGAGTCAATCCGAAGACCAACAAGCCTGTTCGCTACAAGATGCACGTGATGCCTGGAGACACCGTGCAAGTCATGAAGGGCAAGGATCAAGGGAAGGTCACGGAAGTGCTCCGAATCTACCCGAAATGGAACAAGATCCTGTGCCTGGGCGTCAACTACTGCATCAAGCATGTGCGGCCTCAGCGTGAAGACGAAGTCGGGCAACGCGTGCAGGTCGAGGCCCCAATGCATTCCTCCTGGGTCATGCACTACGATGAGGAGGAAGAGGTTGCAGGTCTTCTGGGCGTTCGCTTCAACAAGAAGACCTTGAAAAATGGGTCCGAAATCGTGAAGAAAGTTCGGTACAACAAGTCAACCGGCAATGAGATTCCAGTCAGGGCACCTTCCAAGTGGATTCCAGTCCTGGATCGTGTGGAGGATGAGGACTGAGCAGATGCTGAGCAGCGAAGATTCGCCGCATCAGGCTCTGCAATTCTGCGTCTTGTTGACACCGAGGCCGTGCGAGGAGAAAATGCTACATCACTATTACTACCGCTGCTAGCATGCAGATTCGAAGGAACATGTGTCGCAACAACCGCCAGTCTCTTCACAGGTCCAAGCACACGTTGTTTGCCTACTTGGGAAGGCCGACGCTGCCCTTCGTTGGCCGCTGTCGAAGAACGCATGCTTTCCAAGAGCTCACAGGTGGCGGGCGATGGCAGCTCCGAAAAGGCAATGCACCTCGATGCCTCCGATGAGCCGGAGGTGGAGCACTAATCTTTCCGGAGGGGGAGGGGCTTGTTGCGCGTCATGCTTACATGGTAAGAGTCCGGGACGGTCGTCCGCACGAGCGGAATCCTCATCGGTGGTCCAGGTTCTGGGGTCAGATTCGTTCTGTGTCTTGCATCACGGGCAGGCTACTTCAGTAGTGGTATGTTGGCTCTAGTCGATTTTCGATACAACGGCTGCTGCAGTACGGTGTCCCTGCTCTTGCGAGTGCATGCTCCTGTTGGACACAGGATTCCCAAACCCCTTCTGAGACGGTACTCGAGAGTTGAATTTCAGAGGGTCGCTACGCAAAAGCAAAAACTGCAGACATGAGTTTCGCTCGTTTGCTTTCCTCCGAACGACGCACTCCTCTGCCACGATTCATGAAACCCAAGCACAGCAGATTCTCTTGCGGTATGTCTTGGTCGAGCAGTTCCAAGTGCACGGAGCTCCTTCTACCCAAGGCCGAACTAGACGTTTCAGGGGAGACCAACGAAGATGGTGATGAGGACATGTGGAACATGGCCGCAGCCTTGGACTGCTTGCAGTGCATTCGAAGCAATGAGGGGTGTTTCATGTTGCGACCAAGCTACCATTTCCACCAGAACCGTTGCCACTCTGCTGCCAGTGCTTATACATCAGCTGCCGAATCTGCTGTTGCTCTTGCAACTACGACGATGAGAAAAGCAACCGCGACAGCAGCTGCAACAGCAAGTACGAGGACGACGAGGAGGAGGACGACGACGGCAACGGCGGCAGACTACAACGATGACAGCTGCTGCCGCTGCTGCTCCCCTGCTTCTGTTGTCCCTACTGCTGCTGCTAATAATTTATTACGACGACGACTACTGGTAGTACTGGGTGACAAAAACTGCATTGAATTCTACCCGCAAAACAGAACCGCTATCAATACTGGTCGTTGTGGTGGGGCGGCAAGACGATGGTCGTTTTGCTTGTTTGGGGGTGCAAAACGACCGTTCCTGTTCTTATTTTTTGGCCGTTTTGGTCGTGTTTGGGAGCAAAACGACCGATCGTGGTGATCATTTTGGACCACCCAAGTGACCAAAAACGGTCGTTTTGCCTCACCTTCCCGATCATCGCGTGCTTGCTCTGTACTACTACTTCTTCTACGACTCCGACTTCGACTGCTACTCCCACTACTGCTGCCGCACCTGCTATTGGTTCCTGCTACGACTACTGCAGCTGCTGCTGCTGCTGCTGGACGACTATTGCTGCTACCACCTGCTATTATCGTAGCCACTAGGGCGACGACGACCACATCGACCATGACGTACGCGGAACCACCCATGAAGTCCACCCGCTGTCCACGACCTCTTTTCGGTTGCTGAAACAGGACTGGTCTGCTGTGGCCGCAAAGCGATCTGAGAAGTCCGAGGCATGGCTAGCAAAAGATGCAAGGTGTGTTTATTCTGTTTGTTTGCCTGCTCGGCTCTCTATCGGCATGTGCGCGAGTGTTCTGTGCCCCTTTCCGTGTCTATCTTTCGTCGATGTTCGCAAGTCCGTATGCATAAGTCTATACATTGATACGCATACATGAATATACATTATTACATACATTACATATATATATATAATATACACATAGGTCTAGAGATTATATTATATGTATGTATATATATATATATATTTATTTATATTTATAATTTTGTAGCCATGTAGTGTGTGTACATGTGTGTGTATGTCCGTAGGTATGTATGTATGTATGTATGTATGTATGTCAACTATTCACTATGTATGCAAATGTGTGTGTGTGTGTGTGCGGGTACATAGCCATTTTGTCGTGGATCACCCAACCTGTGTGAAACAGATTTTCGGCTTCAATCAGTGAAGTTCACTCATGGCTGCAGGGCGACGGATTGGTTGCCCAGGACTGGGACGCTGTATGGCGTTGTGGGATCTGTTGGGACCCTGAAGTCGAGTCGAAGCTTTCGCACTCGCCCAGGAGCTCTCAGCAAACTAGGCCGTCCAATGTGCCAATTTGATGCATGCTGGGTTAGTCTGCAGTATCTCCAGTATTCAACAGCCAGGCAAGTTGGCTATTCCATATGCCGGCATGTGTTGTGCGTTAACTGGAGAGCTGCGATTTCTACTTTGGGGCATGGCTCTATGTCATGTTGATGCTCAGATCAAGAGCTAGTGGGCCCTGCAAAACTGCAGTTGGGCCTTTTAGATCATTCTACTCATCGCGTGCTTTTAAGAAGGAGAGCTAGGGTGCTCTGTGGCAGCTAGAAACAGCAACCCGTCCAATGAATGCTGCTACCGGAGCTTCCTCCGCTCATTTGGGGTCTTGTGGAGCTTTGAGCAATAGTGGCTCTTGCTGTTTCCCATTTGGACAGACTAGCGGCGCGAGACCAGGGCCGGAGGCGTCGCAAGCCCGACACAGAGTTCGGGGTTGCCAGGGCTGTCCGAGCTGTCAGAATGTCGCACCAAGTCGCACCTCCTTTCCGGCAGTAGGTCAACCCCGGCACAACCTTGTCAAAGAGATTTCTGGCTCGACCATGCAGTAGTGTGGCTGCTTGCTCGTTGCCTCCGACTCCATCATGCGGGCCTCTGACAAAAAGTCTCGTATCTCGTTGTGCCGAAAGCTTGAAACATCTTTAATTACACTTGATGCAGGGCTGCTAGCTGTTGCTGAGCATTGGAGCTCCGCATCGGAACATCGCATCGGCCCAAGAACTAAGACGTCATGTACAGAGAGTGAGAACCCCAGCCCGCTCTCAGCATGAGGGCTTCACTCTTCTTCCTCTTCCTACTTTGTCTTCCTGGCTGTTGGGCCGAGGTTGGCTGGCCGCTTGGCTGGCCAGCCTCCCTGGAATTTCTCTCCCGTCCTGATGCCGACTTTCTCGCTTTTGTGAGCCCTCTTGCCGACATGACGACCCTGACATACACGGCGACTTTTGGCTCCTACTACAAACCGTCGGCACAGAACAAGTCCGTGGAAGGATGGATGGGTGCGCATGTGGCCAGAGGCTACCCCCGAAGAAGGGATGAGGGCTTTGACCTTCGTCCAGCTGAGCTCAGGACGTGGCGTCCTCGCATTTCGTGGTACGGACTTGGGAAAGGGCCGTAGTGCACAAGCAGATTCCTGTGCAAATGCCGAGTTAGCAGGGCATCCGAGGCCTAAGTATTGCGATCAATTCACGGCCTTCCAGATCGACTATCTTTCCCGTGCTCTGGAGTTAGCCCAGAAGGCCGCGCAAGTGCACCCGACGGTGGAGTGGCTGTACACCGGCCATTCCCTCGGTGCAGAGTTGGCAAGTGTGGTTGGTGCTGTGAGGGGAGCACCTGTGCTTTCCTTTGCTGCTCCGCCAATCCTGCCTCTGCTCAAGAAGCGCACTTCGGTTGACCCGAAGCAGCTGCCTTACTGGAAGTCTGTCTCTCTTTACAACGAGTTCGACCCGCTCCGATTCTCCGCATTCGGAGAGCTTCCGGGAGCAAACTGCAGCTGGCTGAACCAACCGAAAGCGGCGGGGTGTGATGCGTGCGAACTGCACGGCCCAGTGCGTTGGGGCACGTTGGCCTGCAAAGAGTGTTTCTCTAAGACCCACATGTTCGGTGCCTACCTTGCTCTTCTTAAGTCAGGGAGCCGCCCTACATGCAAGGATCAGGAAGCTCGTGATGCCCAAACCATCCTTGTTTGACCTCGCTTTGGGGCCTCATGTCTCACGCGCATTCCCACGAACAGCGACGGTGGAATGCTCAGAAAAAGGTGACACATGTTTGCCAGGCTCCTGCAGAGTGCCATTGATCGTAGAGTCAGAATTGGCCTTGCAGATGGCAGCTGCGGCTGCAGAACCCGCAAGAAAACACAACGTGCTGGTGCCTGAGCTCGATATCATTACAGTTGCGGACGATTGTGGCCGGAGAAACGACTGCAACTCTGACACCACAATTCACTGCAAAACAGATAGCAGGCAGAGATTTACAATATTTCACAACAACTCGATGTTGGGCTCGCAGCATGAGCGCGCCAAGATCCCTTGCAGTCTTGGGTGTCCAAAGTCGTTTACTGGCTCAACTTTAAATGTCGAGTTTCCCCACTTTCGTCTCCAGAGCAGACGACAATGTGCCCCTACAGCAGGTGCCACCCGGTGAAGTGGTATCACAAGGCACCAACCAGTGACATTTCAGGTACTGGGCTTCGTCTGCAAGAACCTGCAAGCCATAGATTTGCTGAACCTTGCACTGGCCTCCACTGCAAGTCGTCGCCTTCACTCGCAAGGTGCCCCACCACCATGGTTCTAGTGAGGGAAAGAACCGATGCAGCGGCTGCCTCCTGATGTGCGTAGGTTGTTCATTTCTATCACTCGCAGCATCTCGCAGCCCCGGCCCAAGCGCAGCACATCCTCCGTGTCCGCAGTTCTTTCCGGAAATGCCTTGCGCTCGCGACACTTGGACGCAAAAAAGGGAGCGAGACAATGACGTGCACCGATACTCACAGAAGGACGCCCCGCTGATCGCAGCTTTGGGCGCAGCTGCCATTGGCCTGGGCAGCGAGGCATTCGTGGCCTCCAAACCCGTCCAGGTGCGCAACCATCGTTCTAGCAGCACTTGAAGGTGAATGTCTCGCAATTTTGTCTCTGAAGTCATTGCTCATTGCTATCAAAGGCCGAAAGCTCACCAGCCCTGAGGGGTACCGGAGCTGCAGCTGCGGCGTCTACCTGGGGAAGTTCAAGCAGGACAAGCTGCAGTCACGCTGCAGTTGTCTTGTCTGACAATGAGACTAGCCGAGGACCCTGGCCGCTGGGGCAGTGGCTACTGCTGCAGTGGTAGGGCGTGGCGCGCTTCTGCGTCGTCGGGCCACAGCTGTGTCCTGGCCATATGCTTATGCGAAGATTCGTCTTGGGGGCATGGCACTCCACGAGGTGAAGAAAAAAGGTGTGCGAGTGGTGGAGGGCAAGGACAGGGATGGTTGTCGCAATTCAGCAGCTGTGAGGTGGTGCAGTAGTAGCCACACAAGTCATAGGACTGTTGACATGCATCCAGCTGGAAGTCTGGGCATTGATCATTGATCTGGGTGTCGAGCTTCGTGAGGAGATCCCCTGGAACCTCTTCAGCCCCAAGGCACCATACGAGGGCAGCTGCGTGTCCAAGGAGACCATCACCAGCAAGACGCCTCTGATGAACTGGGAGACGTGCCATGTGATCATGGACCACGGCGGCAAAGTGCCCTACATCGAGGGCCAGTCCATTGGCGTCATTGCACCGGGCCCGGACAAGAAGGGCGAGACCCCAGCAAAGATCCGCTTGTACTCCATCGCCTCCTCCGCGCCCGGTGACGACGAGAGCAGCAAGACGGTGTCCCTGGTGGTGAAGCGCGTTGTGGAGGTGGCCGGACGTGGCTGGTGCGAGTACTCGAACGTCGAAAAGGGAAAGGATCCTGAGTTCCCGGACGCAGAGAAGGTCTATCGCGGAGTTTGCTCCAGCCACATCTGCGATCTGAATGCCGGAGATGACGTCCTCATCACAGGCCCAACAGGGGCCGAGATGCTGTTGCCGGAAGACCCCGAGGCGAACATGATCTTCATGGCCACCGGAACCGGCATCGCACCATTCCGATCCCACCTGCGCAACCTCTTCCACGACAAGGTCTCGAAGGGCAAGTTCAAGGGCTGTGCCTGGCTGTTCTTGGGAGTTCCTTACAGCGAGTCCTTGCTCTACGACGAGGAGTGGAAGGAGATGCAGGCCGAGTTCCCAGGCCAGTTCCGCTACGACTACGCAGTTTCCAGCGAAGAAAAGTCTGAGAAGAACAAGATCAACGGAGAGATGTGGGTGCAGCACAAGATGATGGAGTATGGCGAGGATCTGTGGCAGTTGGTCAAGGACAGGGCACCTGAGGTGGTACTGGGTACAAAAGACGAAACACAGTCCAGAACTTGTTCACAAGTCGTCACTGTTGCAGGATCCCAAGACGCACGTCTACATGTGCGGCCTCAAGGGCATGGAGAGTGGCTTCGCGGAGTGTTTCCAGGAGCTTCTTGCAAATCGCTTCGAAGAG